CCATACTTTTCAGAGCGAGGCACTCTCTTCTTCCTTTTGGGTGTCCCGTACAGTACGTAGAAATCCAAAGGACGCCCAGATGGTTCTCCCAACAAGTCTACTTCGCGAACTCCCTCTCGATGTAGTTGCTTCAACAGAGTACTGTGCGATACTCCTCTCCTTCTTCTTTCTACTTCTAGGTCGATTTCTTTTTCGATGTCTGTCATCCCGTTGTCTTCTTCATCGTTGTAGGCTTCTCTAGAAGTCTGGCCTTCTTCACCTTCCAGCACGCAAGCCTCTCTTTCGTTGTCCTCCCTTTCTTTTTCTTCTTTTTCTTTATTCTTGAATTCACTGGCCAGTAAGTAATTATTAGCCACAACAGGAGGTAACGTACCGAGCTGGATAGTAAGGGGCTGATCTGGATCTTCTCCATCCCTTCTGTCTCGCTCAAACTTTGATCTCCCAGAAGAAGTTTCTGGCAGTTCTTTCATTGATTCATCTGTATCGGTTTCTTTAATATCTTTGAGAACATTTTGATTGGCTACCTTGAGTAGTTTAGGCGCTTTAGGATGTGGCACTCCCTGTTGCTACCTCATCATTCGTCCATAGTTTCGTTGAAAACGCCTTTGTTGGGTTCTAGTCATCTCATCGAAGGGTATTGCCCTTCCTGCATTATACTGGAATAAATGCCATACATTTGGCCAGCGAGGTTGTGGCTTGAATGTTCTCCCATTATCTGCTGGCCTGAACTGCATCTCAAAAGGCGGTCCTCTATAGAATGATGTACCTCGCCCTCTACCAGGCTGAGTGTTTGGGAAGAAAGTAGGGCGATAGGGATGCTGCCATATCCCTAGTTTCTCCGTGTTCCCACTCACTTCTCTTTTACATCTTACACACAGGACGTCTTCGTACTTTTTTGGTTCTTTCCCCTTGATTCGTTCAAAAACATTGGGATGTGGTCTAGGGTCATCTTCTCCATCATCTATGACCAACTTGAATTTTGGCAACTTGTTTTTGAAATCAGACGTCACCATGTTCACCCCAAGTGGCTGTGGAAAAGGATTTTCATCCACTACTATCTTCTTCTTATCGTCGAACGTAATTCGTCCTGATTCAATAGCATCCTGCAATACATGACGAAAAACCAAGCAATTGTTAGTCAAATGTGACCATGCATTATGCCATTTACAATATTTTTTACCCTTAATTTGTTCAGGGTTTGGCAATTTATGCTTATCACTCAACTTTATCTGCTTATCCCTATATAATTTATCAAATATAAGGTCAGCTTTGGTTATATCGAACGAGAACGTTCTAGCCTTTATGTTTCCATCTTTCATGGGCTCATCTTTGCCCGATGGTCTAGGCTTAGCCATTATAGGACAAGTATACGTATCTCCTTTGACCAATTCGGCCAAACACATTTCGGCCTGATCGTATGACTCGTCGCTGATGGTATGAATGTCAAAATTTGGATCTTTGTAATAAGTCCCTTTACTAGAATTTTTCATCTGCTCTTCTTCTCTTATCAGTCGTTGATACCTAATCACATTCGCACTCAACTGGAAAAGGTCAGGAAATTCCTTATCTTGGAATTTCTTTTTTAAATCAAAGCTCAAACAGCCCTGAGCGATTTTGACAAATTCTTTTTCGGGCAGAGGTACAAAACACTTGCTTCTTGCTGTCTTGAACCTTTGGAGAAAACTTTCTCCCATTCGTTTGGCATTTGACGTAGATTCGTCAAATCAGCCAAAGTGACTTCAGACTCAGTTTTATAGGACTGAGCGTAGAATAATTGTTCCAATTGTTGCCATGTTTGAACAGAGTTCACTGGCAAGTTGATGAATCAGGAGAAAGCTACTCCTGTTAATGAACTAGGAAAGAGCCTCATTTTATGGTAATCAGTTACATCACAACTTTGCAATGTGAATCGCCCTATGTGTTCTAGAGTAGACACCTCTCCTAAACCGGTAAACAGTGAGAATTCTGGCACTTTAAACCCTCTAGACCATGGATATACTTGGTCTACCCAATTAGGATATGGCTTTGTGTAAGTCGGCCTAATGACAGGACGCACCCAAAAGCCATCTGATCCTGTACGATTTCCATAATCTGATTCCTCAACATGACGTTGGGGTCATATGGAATTCCTACAGGTTGGTTGACCGGTTGATTTGCATGAGGCCTGATGTTTGGTCCTTGATTGGCAACAAAGTTACCATGAATAGGGCCATTACCATTAGCCTGAACATCTATTCCCTCATTAACACGTGGGGTATTCTGTCCATTGTTTAGGACATTATCTTTTACATTTGGATTACCCCCCAAGTTAGGCGTACCACTACCATTGTTCTGATTTGGCATTGTACCACCCCCTTGGTTTGAAGTAGAGAGATCAGAAAGTGGTTCTATCCCTTGATTCGGATTTAGGATTGAGGGATTATGTCCCACAATTGTCCTAGTTTGAAAGTGGTTTGCAAGAGGCATAACCGGTTGACATATTTGGCCTACTAACTTATTCATTATTTCATTCAAAGTGTTTAGTTGTTTGGCCATGTTTTCATAATGTGCATTCCCATTTTGGGTAAATCTTTCCATTTTATGAATACTTCGAAGATTTACCTGTTCAATAACATCTTGTGTGAGTTCTCCAAGTAGTGTACGCATAGTTCGAGGATTCAACTCTGACATTGGTTTGTAGCGACTGTTATTTCTCTGATTCTGTCCATCTGTTCGTGGAGAGGCATGCTGCTCCTCATATCGCTCGATCACAGACTGGATTCCTCCCTGACTTGCTGCTTCTTTATCGGATCTCTGAGGCATATTATTTCACCTTTTGTATTTTCAACACCAAACACCACTGTCCTACTGGGCGTGCCAAATTGTTTCATGCGGGTTCGTCGCAAACAATTAAAAAGGGATCAGACGATTGTGCAAGGGACAAACCTCTCGAGACAAAGTCCCAAAAAGGGGTGTTCTTTATGGCGATGACTTTACAATCGGAAAGTAAAAACAGAATGCCTCCAAGGGGCGCAAGCATACGAGTTACTGGAAGAAGTGTTTAAATCTAAACTAAGAAATTTAAAATTAAATGTTCTCTGTTCGAGAGTTTTTGATTCGGGGGTCTTTTGCTCTATGTCTTTTCTTCCTTTTATACTCCCTGGATGATCTCTTTGTGATCAACCGCCTAAATACTGCTTGATCGTTCTATAACTACCCACCGTAATGGCCAACTTGTCATGGAACTGTCTTTTTTAACTGCTGCCATTACTCTTTGTCGTTCAACCATTTTCGATTGAATTCCTTGAATCGTGGAACGTGATAGGGCTACTTAATAACTGCTTTGATAACTGTGCTTCTTGATAACCATAACACTTCATGTTTGCTAAGACCTTGGGCGACCCGAAGGTTTGGGCGAGAATAAAGTAGTAGCTCTGGGCGACTGTATGGCATTCCATTCGCGCAGATCCTGGGCGACTTGCAAGCTTGGGCGATGGTGTTACCGCGTTCACGGGCCTCCCTATTTGGGCCTTCATCCTGAATTGTCTGATTGTGCTTCATTTTTTGGGCTATCTGATTTGGGGATCCTCCATTTGGGCTTCATCCCTTGGGCCGTTCGATTTGGGCTAAATTTTTATGTGTCAACAGAAACTGCATTGTCTACTACATATTTCAGATAATACTCTTCAACGGTTGCTCTATAGAGCCATGCAGCAGTCCACAGAAGTTTATCCTACAAAAGAAAATTGTTTGAAAATAATAAGAAAATATAAAATATAATTAATTAGAATTTAAGAAAAATGAATGGTATTAAAATCATGAACTTACTGAATAACCAGATGATGTGTAGAATTTAGCAGCAGATGGGATGGCGTCATCATAAGAGCCCCTGAATGTGTTTGCAAATGAGGAAATCTGGAAAAATAAATAATAATAATAATAATAAACAATTATTCAGGCCTTGACCGCTCAGGCTAAATAGCCGAGACTGTTCACACTTTTTTAGTCAATTGATGTGTTGATTTTGACACCACTAGTTCTCACAATACGAACTAAAATCCGAGATTAGATATAACTTTTGGTTAAAACTATTAACTGTTTTGCATGAACTAATTCAGGCCTTGACCGCTCAGGCTAAATAGCCGAGACTGTTCACACTTTTTTAGTCAATTGACGTGCTGATTTTGACACCACTAGTTCTCACAATACGAACTAAAATCCGAGATTAGATATAACTTTTGGTTAAAACTATTAACTGTTTTGCATGAACTAATAGAATACCAGAGTAGGAAGAGTTGTAAGGCTTGAATGCAAGGGAGGCAATCGCTAGAGCAGCTGCAATTTCTCCGGCGGTCTGACCCGAGATGTTCCGGGTCAAGCTTGTAACCCAGTCTTGTTGTTGTCAATGCCGGTCCTATGATTGTAGGGGCTTGAGGCGAAGTCCGTAAATTAGGCCCCTTGGCAAAATCAACGTAAATGCAAAATTCAACGATGTATTATACGGCTCATTACTAACTTAAAAAACTAACATTAAAAAAATTATATAAGTCGACAAGGCCGCAATTATATATGACGACAAGGCTTCAAATTGCGGAATCGAAATGCTGAAAGTGAGAAGCCTAAAACCTACTTTGGGAATTGGGAGTTGAGACTGGGAGTCTGGCCATCACAACTCACAATCTTGAAAGTAAAATGTAACAACCACAACAATCAATTTACATAAAAAAAGAAAAAAAAAACTAAAGAATCATCAAACGAATATGTAAAGAAACTTCCAATTTACAGCTAAAACAAGAAATTTGATGGGGTTGATTGATAATGAAAGGGTAAAAAACTAATTTTGTGTTGCCTGCTTACAAAAGAGAATTATCAAAATTTATTAGTTAAAGATATTTCTTTCACACCACTTGAAACTACAACAAGAACGCTTATTTTACACCATATTATCATTCTCTTATCCTTCCTAATGTACACTTATTTATGTATATTTCTCCAGTATCATGTCAAATAAATCTTATAACAATAACAATATTTTAGAAAAGAATCTCAAAAATGATGCAATATATCACCATTGACAAGTTCCTGGTATCCCGATTATTGAGTAGGGTGACATCTTAAAAGATTATTTTCATGTATAATATAAGTGGGATATTACCTTTAATAGTGATCCACATATCTAGAAACAACCCAGTGGAATTGTGATTAATCATTCAATTATACAAAATAGAAAAAATCAGTTGCATCAAAATAAGATCCTATTTCACAAATTTCATGTTAAAAAGCCCATAACATTGACAGAACCATGTTTTGTATTCCAGCAAAAATACGAGGACAGCAACATAAAAGCAAAATATTAGAAAATCACCACACCACCAGCCAACTAGATATTGCCTTTTATGATTTGGAATTGGATTGGAGTATTGGACCATTGTTGTTTAATTTGGGCCTAATATTTTTAAACAAAATGAGGCCCATGTCAATTGACATAAGCCCAAACAAAAAAAAAAATAAGGGTCATCTTCTTCCCAGAGTTCCCATCTCTGCAAGCTGCAACCTGCAAATGAAAACTTTATTTTTTCATTTTCTTCATTTAAAAAAATAAAAATTGGGGGCCTATTCATCTTCTTCCCAACTTCCCTCTTCCGTCTCTGCAAAGTGCAAACTTCAAATGATTTTTATTTTATTTTTCATTTTCTTCATTTAAAAAAAATGGCAGCCAAAAATAGGCCCCTCTAAATCGTTGGCCTGAGGCGCAGGCCTTATCTGCCTTGCCTCAGGACCGACTCTGGTTGTTGTCATGTCTTCAGCCCTCTCCCAACAATAATGATTCGATTCTCTGTCCCCTGCCTACATGTAAAAAATCACCAATATGACGACCGTCATGAAAAATTGTTATTCTCTATCGTCACAGTAACTTTTTACGACGAAAAATCATACATTACAGTTCATTATCCGTTACACACGATTGATTATCATATAATAGTCTATAACCTTAAACAATATGAAAAATAATTGAACAACATATGGCCTCTTTATTTCTCTATATATGTAATATTGTTTGAATTAGGGGAGAAAATTGTACCTGTCCCAACGAACATATGGCTATGTATGTGCTTTGATGAAGAAACTAGTACTTGATTTTATGGCTTCCAAATTATTCTTATTCGGTTCAAACTAACCATTTCTTTCCTAAAATCAATGGCTGCCCATGAGAGCATAGTCACAGTGTATGCCATTGGCAACCCAAACTTTACATGGTCTTCTGCATTATAGTAGCCTCCTGCCAAATTCACCTGTCCATGCAACAAATACATTCATTTTTTAATAAGCTAAAACTTGCTCGCAGGGATGGATTATGAGTACTAAGATGAAATCGTTTTGAATTATGCTATGGCTTTTGATTGCCCTTGTGACAGGCTCAGCCCGTCACAAAGGCCTGACCGAGCCCCTGTTTGAGTAGTAGGGTTCGATCTTTTTAGGATTCAATTTAATATTGTGTACCAAACATAACCTAATGGCATCTTTGTCACAGAGGACAGTGACAAGGGTCATGCACTAAAATTGCTAACTAGGAAGTTTGCGGCTTACTCCTTGAGAATATCCATCATCGAGCTCGAAATAGCCACACCATTTTATGAGTTGATTTATCGGCAACTTGCCAAATCTTTGTGCTTCGACGAACAACAAACTTTTGTCAAGAGCATCGCTGTAGTCGAAGGTGGAGACAGTGGTTGCCGCCCAAGCAAGCCAATTAACAATCCAAAAGTTCCCCATTTCTTGGTCCTTTTTTTTTCCCTGGGATATGGGAAACTTGGAGTCACTACACCAAAAATGCTCTTTTGCAAACGACAACATTCATTATTAATTAAATGTTGCTAAAGGAATTCATTGCAACATTCTAATAAGTGAGTATTACTAAAAGGGTTTTAATAAGTGTTGCTAATGTTACTTTTCGCAACGTTTTTTGACCGTTGCAAAAAGGGAGACATTTCGCAACGTTTAAAAAATGTTACGAAAAACCACTTTTTGCAACGTTTTTTGACTTTTGCGGAAGGTGACTTTTCGTAACTTTAAAAAAAGTTGCAAAAAGTGGTTTTTCGCAATGTTTTTTAAACGTTGCCATAACTTTTCCCCCTACTGCTACAAAAGGTCTTTTGTTGCGTTTTTTGATCGCTCCAAAAGCCCTTTTTTGGTGTAGTAAGAAGAGTACTCAATATTATGTCATGAACATATGATCTCAATATAGATAGATATGGAAGAGAATGTCAATGTCATAAATTACTTATTTCTTAATTAATTGACTTGGTAAGAATATATTGTAGTAGATTTCACGTTCATAGAAAAATAAGAAACAAGAAAAGTCAAGACTGAGCTCCCCATGTTTTGTATTATTGAGAATTAGAGGTTCGTGTAAGTCTGTGGTTGTTAGAATAGACATTTTAAATGGATCGGGGTAGATGGAGTCGAGTCGAAACGTTTATTTAATTCAACAAGTTAGACTTCAAAATCATAAATTCATCGAGATATAAATCTTTTACATAAGTAGATGGGCCTCAAAATCATCGTATATGAAATGTCGACATATTTCTAAATAAGTAACTTGAGAGTAGTCAACAACTTAACAGGAGACTAAAAATCGAATTGACCAATCAGGAAATGGGCCTAAAAGTATAGCCAAAAACTATACAAAGAAAAGGAGGGGAAATCATAAATCAGGCATTAAGTATCACCAATTCAATTGTCAGGTCTTAAGTTTAAAATTCAGGTATTTATTTATTAATTAAAAATATTTTATTAATTAAATGTAATAAGGTTACAATTATATAATTAATAGTCACGGGTGCATAATTATAATTCACAACTTATTTATTGATCATATATTATCAAATTAATTGGTCACAGATTATTTCAATGTCACAAATCAAAAATTTTATAGGTCACAATTTATTTTGTTGGTCATAGATTAAAATATTTATAGGTCACAGTATATCTTTCAATCACATATTTTCAAATTTGTTGTCACAAATTGTTTTTTTAGTTATAAATTATTAAATTTTAATGTCACTGTTTAATAATTAGTCACAAGAACCAAATAGTTGGTCACACACCAAACACACAACCCCCGATCCCAATCCACCACCAATACTTGATCACAAATCATTCAAATGGTTGGTCACAAACACTCTTTATGCCATCTCGTCGTCGCCGTCTCCTTCGCCATTGCTACAACTACCACCAACAATAACAACACAACATCACGACTACAACATCACCACCTCACCACTATCACCACTAACCAGATTTGGACCTACCAACCCACCACACACCACATCTGCACCACAATTGGTCAAACACCACACATTGACAACGCTGCCACCACGTCGGCAACACCACTGCACCCATAGCACACACAACCACCACTAACGCATCCAATCACACCACTATTTCACACCACCATCATATCTAAAAACCCCAAGGATTGCAGTGTCACCACGAAGGACTGTAGTGTCAACAAGGAGGACTACAGCTCGATGAAGGACCGTACGCACTAGTCGGCATCGAAGGACTACAGTGTCAATGTTCGTCGTTCGCAGAGTTGGAATCAGCATTGCTCGACAACGCTACTAAGAACTCTCAGCAACCCTTGATGCCAACAACATCATTTGTCGCATCTCCTTTGTCACAGGTTACTAAAGATCGAAGAGCCCATATCGATGGAGCCACCAAGGATCCACCGCCTCGACCAAGCTGTCGCAAACATTATCATCGGAGATCCTCTTCCAAGGATGGTGCCATTACTTTTGAGAGAAAAGAATGATTAGGGAGAAGAGAAGATGGGAAGATAGAAGAGAAGACGGGATGTGCATGTATTTAGAGAGAGAGAGAGAGATAGAAAAAGAAGAGTGAGACGGGATGGGGGAAATAAATTGTGGGTGGGTAAATTGAATTAATATCTGATTTTTGCTTAAATAAACTTCAGACCTGAACTTTGAATTAGAAAATTTAGCCTTTGTTTGATCCTCATTCTTTGGAAAAAAATGAATTCTTTAACAGTGTTTTGACATTATTTCAACAATATATTTTTCAATAAAATAATATTACATGTAAATTCAAACTTTTTTCTTATTTTTTAACCACATATTTTTCATCAATACACTAAATGGGGTTCAAACAACGGCTTAAACAACTATTTTTATGTAATTTCCTCCAAAGTAAAACTGGGAACCCAAATGGTCAGTCTAAATAAAGAAAATGGGCCTGACCCAACAAAACTCTCAACCCTGTCGAAATGGGAACCCAGCTGGAAATGGGCCAGTAACAAGACAAATGGTGGGCCAGGTAGATATGCTCATGACCGCACGTGCACGCAACGGCCGAGTCTCCTGATGATGGCTTGGTCTTCATCACAAAGAACCCACCTTCACAAAAACCTAATCTCCAAAAAAGTTATTCAACAATCCAATCTCTTCCCACAAAACTCGCCATCTTATCATGAATTTCATCTCCCCAAATCACAAAATTTTCTAACCAAGAACCCATTTTTTCACTCTGCAAATTAGATTGTAACAAATGGGTGGAAATGGCAAGAAACTACACAAATGGAAAATCACATTTCACAGACCCTTCTTCAAGTCTGACGGCAACAAAAAACTGCCACCCCAAGAATTCATTTGCCCAATTTCTAATTCGTTGATGTCCGATCCAGTTGTTGTTTCCTCTGGACAGACTTTCGAGCGTTTGTCTATTAAAGTATGCAAAGATTTGGACGTCACCCCGACTCTGCCTGATGGTTCAAATCCTGATTTTACTAATATAATTCCCAATTTAGCTCTCAAGAGTACAATCCAAAATTGGTGTTCAAAGTCTGGATTCGAACACCCGAATCCGCCTGAGTATTCAGAAGTTGAGTCTATTATTAGTTCGTCCATGGGATTCTGTTTAATGAATCGAGATAATTCGAAAATTGGGGTTTCAGAAAGTGATTTTCTTAATGGTGTTTCTGAAACCACTCCGGTTTTATTCAGCCATGCTGCTTCGGAGTTGAATTGCCCGAATTTTTACTCCTGTTCGAGTTCAGATGAATCTGTGATTGCAAATACGACACCACGGTTGCCGTTTGCTACCAGACCCTCTTGCTTTTCAGCTTCATCTTCCCCGACAACCTCAACGGAATTTATTGTATCGGACGAGGTTTCGAGTTATAATTCTGCTACATCAGAGGATGAGAATTTGGTTAACATGATGAAGACTTCAGATGTATTTGAGCAAGAACAAGCTGTGATTTTATTGAGGAAAATTACGAGGACTAATGAAGAAGCTCGAGTTTCATTGTGCACGGAAAGGCTTCTTTTTGCTTTGAAGGAGTTGTTAAATACGAGGTACGCCGCCCTGCAGAGCAACGCCGCCGCCGCACTGGTGAATCTTTCACTTGCAAAAGTCAATAAAATCAAGATCGTGAGAGCCGGGATTATTCCTCTATTAATTGACATTTTGAAAAATGGGTTTCAAGAATCACAAGATCATGCCACGGGGGCAATTTTCAGCTTGGCACTTGAAGATGAGAACAGGACTGCAATTGGCGTGCTAGGCGCTTTGCCACCATTATTGCACGCTCTGAGGTCGGGATGGGGTACGACACGGCTCGATGCGGCCATGGCTCTGTATCATTTGACATTAGTTCAGAGCAATAGAGCAAAGATTATTAAACTTGGAGCCGTGGGAACATTGTTGGGGTTGTTGAAGGATCCGGCAGTGGCGGCCCAGGTGTTACTGGTTGTGGTGAACCTGGCGGCCTGTGCGGAGGGGCGGTCAGCTTTGTTGGATGCCAATGCAGTGGAGTGCTTGGTGGGGATGTTAAGGAAATGGAGCTCGTCGGGTTCAGGTTCGACCCGGGAGAATTGTGTGGTGGCGTTGTACTCGTTGAGCCATGGGAGTTTGAGATTCAATGGGCTGGCGAGGGATGCGAGGGTGTCCGATGTGTTGCGAGAGGTGGTGGAGAGTGGAAGTGATCGTGCGAGGGAGAAGGCAAGGAGGATTTTGGTGATGTTAAGAGAAAGGGACGAGGAGGAAGAAGGACGAGAGGACGAGGAGGTGGACTGGGAAGCGGTTATGGAGGGGGGGGTGACTCGGGCGAGGCGGCTGAATTGGGAGAAATCATGATCTCAAAAGTATCGAATACTAACTGGGTCACGATAGATGGGAGAGTAGCCTAAGCTAGAGTAAGAGCGACCACGTCAAGGAAATGCTTTGGCAACCTTAAGAGGTAGCGACTAAGAGGAGGAAGAACAAGAGGTCGAGGAGATTGGCTTGGAAGGGGTAATGGACGACGAGGTGACTCGGTGAGACGGCGCCCCAACTCAACCAAGTAGAGAGTTGTGATTGGGTTAGATGGGTACAAAGAGTCGTATAATGATTGGTCATTAATGGAACTTGTCAATATTACTGCGTACTTTAAGGTTTCTCTTTGATGTTCTTTTATTTTGGGGGCTAACTTTTTCTTTTCCTTTTAGGAAATTATTTGAGCTTTTAATTAGGATTGTGATTTCGGTTTACATGTAAATAACATAGTTGAAAGTACATTGGACTTCTGATTAGTGGATTATTCTACATCAGAGTGCACGTCAAATGTTGTTGTGATTGAGCTATTATTGGGACATTTCTTTAGACTAACATTTAAGTTTTTAAAATATGATCATAACCTGCCTAGGAAATAGTTTCTCGGGCATAATTGCATCTACTATGGCATATTCTAAAGTTTTCCACAATAATTTTTACCCCTAGTTGAAACTTCATTATCATTAAGTGCAACATTTTCGAAAAATGAAATAAGTGTCGACCTTTTTATTATGGTTGCACGAGTAGTCTTCAATTAAGAAAACAGTTTTGATCTCCGTAAAATAATAACGGTCGTAATATGTTCAAATTTATGAAGTTACGTTTTGCTTCTAACTTCGATTATTCTCTAGAAGTTAAAATTGGGGTCATGTTTCTGTCACATAATAATTCTAAGCAAGATTTACATATTTTTAGTCAATTTGGACTATAGTTGACCTAGAGCGGTCAAAGACTGTTCTTGAAATAGACTCATAGCATAACTCAAGTTGGACTATTGAAATGTGGACTAGATTTGAATTGACTCATAGCACAACTCAAGTTGGACTATTCTTTAGTTGACTAATAGCACAGCTCTTCTCGGACTATGGATTACAACAATATATAATCTAGACCAGATTTTACTAATCCAATTCAATTTAGAACATATAAACGACTTAAAGATAAATAGGAAGGGATGTGCTATATGCACAAACCCCTGTGCACAGGGTGTCTCACAAGGGGGTGGACTCTACAGGGGTCTGTGCAAGAAGGGTTTCCCAAATAGGAATAAGTGATAAATAAAAAGTAACTTGAGTGTTTATAAAAATGATCCAAACATTAGCTCACATCTTCGGTGAGTAGTGAGATAAAATAAAGCCCATGTTTGGTTTAGATATTAAAATCATATATATATTTTTTAAGATTTTAATAAAAGTTAATGAAAAGCGTGGCTAAAAAGTTGTGAGTTACAATAATGTGTGATTAAAATTAATTATTAATTTTGACTTAAACTAAAAATTTTAGCTGAACCAAGCTTTGAGCAAAATAGTATTGAAGTTAAGGTTTGAACAACCTCAATATTATCAAATTTGAATGGTTTTACAGCTCCCGGGCATAGCTTAGTGGTGCAAAAGATATGAGTGATGTTATCTCACGTCTTGCTGGCAGTCGGAGTGTGGGGGTTCGATTCCTAAAACATGGAATTGGACTTCTTATAGGCGCAGTGTACATGCAACTCTTGTTCCCTGGCCCGTTGGGGCATATCCTGCGATTTACCTCCCTCACAAAATTCTAGGAGTGGGCGCTGGGAGCCCTCAAGGTTGGGGTTCAACCTTTTAAAAAAAAAATGTATTATGAAATAGTGATTGATGGAGAATGTGTGGTTAAAAAGAAAGAAAATATTTTTGATTTGGGTGTAATATTATTTTAATGAAAAATGTGTGATTAAAAATGAATACTGTAAAAAAATTATAAAAGAAAATGGATGACAAACGAGGGCTAAATTTCTTAGAATAAAGAATTGATGAGTTCTAATGTGCAAACTAATTCAAATTTGATTTAAATGAGGTTGTACTAAATTATTAAACCTCCGATTGAGCCACATTATTGTAAAAATGAGAATGAAAAATATAATCATCGCGAACCTCACACAAAAGATAAAAATTAAAATATGGTGATTTGATGTGATGGATAACGGTTATATTTTTCATTTTAATGGAAAAATAATAGGGCTCAAACAAGGCCTAAAAGTCACAATCCAATATATTTTGAGACATACTTATTTTAACCACAAAGCAACAATTATTTTTAAAATAAGTAATTTATTAAATTGAGTGAAATAAAATCAAATTGGGTAGCCATGATGATACTTAAAGCTTGTCTGTCTCCCATTTTGAGAGAAAATATAGAGTTTTGAATAGTAATTTTTGGAGAATGTGTGGTTGAATTTTTTTAAAAAAATTATTGGTTTATGTGTATAATATTTTATTTTGTAAATGTGTGGTGAAAAATATTACTGTAACTGTACGACGAAATCTCGTGTATTAAAATACAGAAATCGTTACAAATTGTATTTTGATAAATACAAGTGATGTTGACCTTCTTGTAATTGCAAAATTGTAAAATCCTCTGATTAATGATCTAAATATTTTAAGACGAGGGGCCGCATGGCTTGAATCTTGATCTTCAAGAATTTGTTGAAAATTTGATTTATCGAGACTTGGCTTATTCGGAACTTGAACTTCGGAGTTTAGATTTGGACTTGAATTTGATTTGATTTGAAGAAGACTTTGATCTACTTGGACTTGACGTGAACCTGTTTGATTCGAAGAAGATTTTATTCTTCTTGGGGTTCACCGATTTTGGATTTGAGAGGAATTCTTCCCTTCTTCTGATCTTGAAATTTCTTGAGCACTTCATGGCGTTCTCTACCTTTTTTCTTGCTTACTTTCCGTGTCCCGTCTTATGGACCACTGGTCTTATTTATAGGGGAGGATTCAAGTTAATTTTGGTACTTACTCAATTAATTTAATTAAAAGAGATATTTGAGTAATTATGGTTTTATTTATTTATTTTGTTTGTTTATTTTTTTTTTTTTTATTTAAAATTTGGTATGGGCCTTTGGGTTTTATGGATTTTAGTAGATTTAAATTTAATTGGGCTAATATTTAAATTGACCCAATCCATTTTATTTTATTATTTTTTTTATGTATACAAATGGGACCCTCAAGATTTATTTATTATGAAATAAATAAATTAATAAATCTTGACTTTCAATTTTATTTTGATTTGTTCGATTTCGAATTTTTTTTTTCTTTTGACCTCAAACTTCCCATTAGTAAATTAATACGGATGGAAGATTTGAAAGCAAAATGTGAATTTGATAAAATTCTTATCCTTCAAATTCGAGAATAAGATTTTTTTCTTTGGTCGAATTTTGATTATTTAATTATTTTATAGACCCATAACAAATTTGATTTAAACAAGTTTTTTACGTTTCGTGGTAAATTGGGCTTAAGTTAAGTCCATTATCCGCCTATTTATACGAAAAAATTATAAGACTTGAGAACAAGTCTGTTAAATCTTGCAAACAAAAGGTAAACAATTCTTTCCCTTTTTTTTCATTCTCTTTCTCTCGCCCACTTTCTATTTTTTCTTTCTTTTATTTTTTTAATTCTTCTCAGTTCTACCACATGCAGAGACATGAATCGGTATAGGTTTCTGCTGTGCAAAATTTTTTAATTGGTTTCTACAAAAGCAGAAACATATTATTAAAAAAAGATTTCTAGTGTTTTCGCCGCCAATTGTAATTGGAATTGGTTAATTCATACACACACACACACACACACACACACACACACATATATATACATACACACACACACACACACACACATATATATGTGTGTGTGTGTGTTTGTATATATATGAATTTTTTTTTGTTACACACGTAACTTCCTTTTTTTTTTGTTTCTTTTTTTTTCTTTTACCTATTTATTTATTTATTTTTTTAACCGTCCCTTCATTTTGATCCTCTTTTTTATGTGTTGATTATTTTGGTGTGATTAATTTTAACAAAATTGAAACTAATATACTTCATTTTTTTTAGGGTTTCAATTCTTTGGAGCGAATCAAGATTTTTCTTCACGAAGAGGTTAGATTTTTTTTTTTAATGTTGCAATTATTCTTTGAGTTCAGGAAATACATGCTTATGAACAAACTTAAAATTGCAAACCTTCATACACATTGAGGACCAAGGACCTGCTCCTTCCATCGTCCAAGGCACTTTGTGTTAAGGACCAAAGACTGACTCCTTCCATCGTCCAAGACACTTTGTGTTGAAGACCAAGGACTGGCTCCTTCAACTGTTCAAGACACTTTGTGTTGAGGATCAAAGTGTCGAGGATCAAGGACTGGCTCCTTCAACTGTTCAAGACACTTTGTATTGAGGACCAAGGACCCGTTTCTTCCATCATCCAAGGCACTTTGTGTTAAGGACCAATGACTGATTCCTTCAACCGTCCAAGGCACTTCGTGTTAAGGACAAAGGATTGGCTACTTCAACTGTCCAAGACATTTCGTGTTGAGGACCAAGGACTTGTTCCTTCTATCATCCAAAAAACTTTGTGTTAAGGACCAGGGACTGATTCCTTCGACCGTCCAAAGTACTTTGTGTTAAGGACCAAGGACTGGTTCTTTCGACCGTCCAAAGCACTTCGTGTTAAGGACTAAGGACTGGCTCCTTCCATCATCCAAGACACTTTGTGTTGAGGACCAAGGACTTGTTCCTTTCATTGTCCAAGACACTTTTTAGAGAGGCTATTTACATATTTGGGAGACTCGGGATTTTAAACAATAAACCAATTTGAGAGGTTTACTGCCCCCTTTTTTTACTGATTTTTTTTTGCAGGCATGGCTGGGACAAGTTCTAATGATAAAGTGTGCTCTGACATGCATGAAATTGTTGAGCTTAAAAATCAAGGCTAAAGTTATCTGCGTTTCAAAGATACTGATGTGAAGTGCCATGCCTAGACCGGCGTACGAGGTGAACTTAAATTTAGTGTCCATAAGCCAACGACAGATCCTTGCCCCGACCTCCTGGAGCCATTGTCGGAGTTGCATATGTCCACCATTAGTGAATGTCACGAGAGTTTGGATACTGGCAAATCCAATCGCTCTAGCAGTCATCTTCCATTTTTGTGTCTTCTGCCTCATCATTCCCAAAGCATGGAGTACATGCAACAACATATTTTGTCCGAGGTGTTTATGCTCATGTAGACAAGAGTTATTCTCGCCCTATAATTCAAAGATATGCCGGAACTCTGAATGCTTTTCAATCTTGGGAGAAAAATGTCGTTGATTGTCGCGAATTATCTGTGGAACGATGAACACCGATAACTTTTGCTGAAATCCATTACCCTCATCGTCTCATCCTGATGTACGTGTGGATAACTAACCGAGGTCTGTAGATACTTCAGAATTCATGATGAGTATTCGATCTGGATTTGTTTCTTATCGTCGAGGAAATTCACC